ACTCAAACTGTCTTTAAAAAAACACTAAGCTGGAGTTTATAGTTACCGAAGCACAATGCAATTCTCCATAGCTGATGTAGCTTCGGTTTAAGCTGCACTTTAATCTTATAATTTTGGATCTGTAAATAACTATCCGTGATAATTTTTGAACAGTCTGCAAAGAAAACTAAAGAGCTGGGCCCAGCGTCAGGATACAACATTGCAGAAAAACATTACATTCACGGACTAAAGAAAATCGCTTACTTATTCAGATCGAGAAGGCACTTTGGAGAAAAGTAAGACCCTTATTCAGCCGCAATAAAAAGCTTTACGCTTCAAAAGGGGGCAAAGAAAATGCTCTTGCATCAGAGGGCAAATCCCGTCGACCAGAAACAAAAACCACAGTAAATCGATGTGTGCCATGACCTGTCAGTGTGAAACAAGCGGCTAAAATCACATTGCTCTGTGAAAATGCAGAACCTTCCAGAGAAAAACCAACCCTGCAGAGGAAAAAACTTATGGGAACAAGCAGCATTTTGGCATAAAGTAAAAGTCGTGTCGGCCTACCACCCCCTTTTATTGCTATAAATACCTGAAGGTGTAATTCCTGTTGGCGATCGAAGCGCTGCTGATCTCTTTGTACTTGTCTTCGAAGATTCACGTTCTGGAGAAGTCATGATAGTATCTGTACCTTCCGCATTTCAAGTTCGCTTATTTCAGCGGCTTTTTAAATTACAAACCGAACTAGCAAGACGAACGCTTATTAATTCTCTTACCGGAGATCAACGACTTTTTGCAAAATCGACAATGAGGTTCGTGCTCCATTTTACTCTGTTTTCAGACGGAGCAAAACACAGCTCATTTCCTGTTAATTTTGCCAGGAGTTACTCACGCACGAAATTGATTGACCGATAGCGATCGTACTGACAGATGATCGGCAGGATAATTACAAGAGGGTGGAATAGCGGCCTCAAATGTTTGTCTACAGGCTCCCCCCCCCTTTCCCTTCCCTTTCCTCGCTATTTTTCCCCAAACAGAGAGCCTGTTCACAGGCTAGGGCAGTAACACTTCAGTAACTTGGAACATCAAGATTACTTAACTGAAAATAATAGGCGCCGCTAAGATCCCGGTGGAAGCGGTCCAGTTTTCAGTCGGCAAACTCTTTGCTGTTTTGTTGATAAGAAGTACATCTGTGAAAGTAGCCTGTTCAACAGCTCGTGTTCGCGCTTTGAACAACGAACAGCTTACTTTATCCCGTGATAATCCGAAGACCTTTATTTTGCTTTAAAGATACAAAAAGTACAGGTTATTTAATATTTAACGCTTTGGAACAAAAGAAATTAATTTTTAACTTTTTTGTTAACCGTATCTGAAAAAAATTAACCGATAGCCGTAAAAGAGCCAAAATTTTAGCCGATAACCGTGAAAGCCACCACCCCATTCTGACCCTCATTAAATTGAACGGAACATCGCTATTTGATAGCCTGTAACAAAAGTCATTATAGTAACAATGGTCTCTATTCTGACTCTATCGCCATCTTGAATTATCAAATGCTAAGCTGCATAGACGAACTGGAAAGCTCCCACCATCAAGACGCAACCAACAATGCATGTGATGTACGAGAACGTTTTGGGCCCTCCTGCAAACCAGTGATTCCTGGTGACGTCCGCAATGCTTGGGCAGACTTCGCCCTAAGTTACTGGACTGTTAGAAGATTGAAATAGATTAACATGAGGCTCTTTGAAACGAATAAAAGCCCAGACAGCTGCAATACCACCACAGAAAAAGGGTAATTACAACCATATAAATAATATGGTCCCTGCATACGATTTTGTCAAATTTAACGTGCCAGTATTTGCATTCAACGGCCTTGTACCTGTAGTGTTATTTAGCGAAATACCAATGTACCAGCTTGCTGAGTCGGCCAGAGAAGAAATAGATGCCTTGGATAACGTGAAACGTCCTTTCCTCGCAAAAGTAAGACGAATAGACTCGCCTCTATAATCCACAAGTCTAACGTTGTCCTTAATGTCCTGACAGATCCGTGACACTTTCAAGTAAGAGAGCGCATCCGAGTCGGAAGTAACCGTTATATCAAGCTGCGTCTTTGAGATGTCTTTAGGAGGGATAAACTGAAACACACTTGTATTCCGTTCATTTATTTCGATTATTTCATTTATTCCATTGTTTTGAGATGCTTCTACTGCAAAAACCCACTCCGGGTGTTTCCGACAGCGTGAGGCGTTTTTCCATCGATTCATCTCCTGAATGAGAAGGACAGAACGACAGACTTCTCCACTGCTCGCCAAGTGAAGATTCTGAAATGTCCATGTGACCCTCAAGGAAGGTGCTGCCTCTGCCCTAGACTGATAGGTGAAGAAACCGGTCAAAGACGAACAGTAATCCATCATATAAATACTAAATTGGAAGTATTTGCTTCATCGAAAGGATACTGACTTGCAAAAGCTCGATACCACACTGCACTGGAGTAGTGTTATACCAAATCTGGTAACTTTAGGGGATGAGATACTGCCCGAGGAATCGATCATGCTGTTTCAGCAGCCTTTCATTGCGCTCTTGTATCAAGTCGTGATCTACTAGAAGTAAGCACAGTGCTCTTCGCCAGTACTGTTTGGATGTGCTGATTTGCTGTCACGCGATCGGGCGCGTTATTCTCGGATCATTATGTTCCACTCCGCTGTCATTTCTTTGGCTGTTTCAAACAGCCCGTCCCACACAATGTCGTCATCTCGCTCCTCCCGTGGTACATTGATCACAACCCGAGATTCGTTTGCTGCTTCAATCAGGTCTAGGTTTTTGCGCTGAGCATAATCATGACAGAGCCACTGTACAGTTTGTATGAGACTAAACATGCTCTGTTGCACAGAGGCAAATTATAAAATCAAACAGTCTTATTGACCACCCCGGGGGGGGGGGGGGGG